GTGTAAGGGGTTGTGTTGTCCATTTTTGACCAGATTTTTTTGTAGAAATTTTCTTGATTTTATTGTAGACTTTTAAATTAGATTTTAGGCATTTTACTGTTTTTATTTTTCCTGTTTTTTTTAATTGAATTTCTTTTGTCATGTTTGAATGTTGATTCTGTACAGCACTTTGGTCTGCTGTGGTGCAGAAAGTGCTGTACAGATAAAGTAGGATTAGATTAGATTGGATTAAATTACCTGAATTCAGTTGAGTGAAAACAGCCGACAATCTTTTTAATTAAATTCATCATATCTGTTTTTTGAGTGTGCAAAACTCGATCTGTAAATCTGCTGAAAGSTTGTGTTCTGATATGTTTAGTCTCTAATGTGACAGCACAGTTCTCTTGTGAAKACTGACGCTGAAGGTGTTTCTCCGACTGTTTGGATGATGGGGTTTTACGTTTCCATAGATCTTACATCAACTTCTACTATTTAATTGGGCTGKCTTGTTGGGTGACACACTATCAAAGTTAAGTTCACTGTCTTCATCATGAATGTTTTGTTCCAGGAGCTCATTTGTCATCACAAAGCCCAGGTTCCCCAACATCTGATGACCTGGGTGACTTCAGACGGAGTTATACTCTCCAGCCACTTAATTAAGTACACCTGTTCACCTGTTGCTGGTAGTAATTCGTACTCATTTCCGGTGATAGTTGGACTCTGCCAAGGTTGCCCTTTGTCACCAAATCTGTTCATAACTTTTACAGACAGAATTTTTAGGCGCAGCCAAGGTGTTGAGGGGATACTTTTTGGTGAGCGCAGGATCACATCTCAGCTTTTTGCGGATGATGTGGTCCTACTGGCTTCATCAGATCGTCATCTCCAGCTCTCGCTGGAGCGGTTCGCAGCTGAGTGTGAAGCGGCCGGGATGAGGATCAGTGCCTTCAAAATCCGAGACTATGGTCTTGAGCCGGAAACCGGTAGCGTGCCTTCTCCGGGTCGGGGAGGAGGTCCTGCCCCAAGTGGAGGAGTTCAAGTATCTCGGGGTCTTGTTCATGAATGAGGGAAGAATGGAGCGGGAGATCGACAGGCGGATTGGTGCTGCATCTGCAGTGATGCGGCGCTGTACCGATCTGTCGTGGTGAAGCGGGAGCTGAGCCAGAAGACAAAGGTCTCGGTTTACCGGTCGGTCTACGTTCCTACCCTCATCTATGGTCATGAACTTTGGGTAGTGACCGAAAGAATGAGATCGCGGATACAAGCGGCTGAAATGTTTCCTTTGCAGGGTGTCTGGGCTCTCCCTTGGAGATAGGGTGAGAAGCTCAGTCATCCGGGAGGGACTCAGAGTAGAGCCGCTGCTCCTCCACGTCGAGAGGAGCCAGTTGAGGTGGCTCGGGCATCCGGTTAGGATGCCTTCTGGATGCCTCCCTGGTGAGGTGTTCCGGGCATGTCCCACTGGGAGGAGGCCCAGAGGAAGACCCAGGACATGCTGGAGGGACTATGTTTCTCGGCTGGCCTGGGAACGCTTTGGGATTCCCCGGACGAGCTGGCCCAAGTGGCTGGAGAGAGGGAAGTCTGGGTCTCTCTGCTTAGGCTGCTGCCCCCACGACCCAATCCCGGATTAGCGGCAGAAATCGGACGGACGACGGACAAGGTCTGTATCTGTTGTAACTAGGATGAAAATAAGCCACTGGAGCAAATACAAAATATGGAATGTACAGTATATCATTTAATTTTAAATAGATATCACTGCTTAAACTGGAGTCATATTAGGATACAATGTACCCAGAACGTTGTTCTCAKATTTAATCTTGTGTGCAGTGTGTGATTAAAAGAAATTATCTCGACTTTAAATGGATGTTATTCTATTATAAACTGGTAATTTTTAGTCTCCTTTGCTTCTAAATACATTGTGTACTGTTATCGCCTGCTTCAGTGAAAGTTGAGTAATAAGCTAACTGTGTGTATGTGTATGTGTGTGCATATGGTTTTACTGTTAGCAAAATCTTTTTAGTATTTGGAGTCACTTCAATTCAAGATGGCTGCCACAACTAACACCTTAGAAAGAAAAAACTATTAATCAGATTTGATCAAATCTGCTGTGGTTCTAGCTGAGAGTCATCCTCAACAAATACTGCGAGCACCAACAGATCTTTGTTTAAAACTCTGGCATCCAAGGCGGCTGATGACATGCAGTCCGTCTA